TCTCTCTAGCTTGGCTCAAGCAGAGGGCAGCCGATTCCCCACGTGCGGGACACTCTCTGCCTTGTGCCCCCCATCTGGCCACCCGAGTGCGGATGCGCCCAGGGCCAGGCCCCCAGCTCTTCTGTGCACCCCAGCGGCGCTGAGCCCGAGCAGGTGGGACCCCGCCTGGCCCCCAAGACATTCGCACCCCTGTGGGGGGACGTCCCATGTGGGGGGAGGGGGCTGCAGCGATGGCTGACCTGTCTGTGCAGGGGGGCTCCCCTGGAGAGCTTAGGATCACTGCCCTCCCCCCCGGAGACGGGGCGCGGCCGTTCCCCTGGGCAGTGGGTAACAAAATTAATGTCCCTGTTTCTGTCAAATGCCACGTAAAAACCCGCCTCGAGAAGCTTGTGCAAGCCGGTCCGACGCAGATCGCTTCCCCCGGCGGCGCCGGCCGGCCGGCCTCACAGGACCGTGCTGATGGTCTCCTTGGGGACCTGGGTGCTGGGCAGAGATTTAAGGTACTCCAGGTGCTTCCTGGCATCTTCCTGGTTGTGGCGGGCGGTATACACCTGGTGAACCAGCCAAACATGGTGACGAACATGGCCACGTCCGTGGTCTTCTGGTGGATGCTACAGAAATTGACGCCGGAGTCCAGGACCTGGATCAAAGGTTTCCCGACGTACTCCTCCCGCACCGAGGTCTGGCAGGTGATCTCGCTCACCGACTCGGGGTCCAGCTGGACTTCCCAGAGCACCTCCTGCAGCGCGCACTGGTGAACCAGCCAAACATGGTGACGAACATGGCCACGTCCGTGGTCTTCTGGTGGATGCTACAGAAATTGACGCCGGAGTCCAGGACCTGGATCAAAGGTTTCCCGACGTACTCCTCCCGCACCGAGGTCTGGCAGGTGATCTCGCTCACCGACTCGGGGTCCAGCTGGACTTCCCAGAGCACCTCCTGCAGCGCGCACTCGCAGTGCCAGGGGTTATTGGACAGGCGGATCTTGGCGTTCAGTTTGACCAGGGCTTCCTTGGGGATGCGCTGGATCAGGTTATTGGAGAGATCCAGCGTCCGCAGCCCGTCGGCCACCCCTCTGAAGGCGGCCAGGTCGATCTTCTCAATGGCGTTCCGGGACAGGTCCAGCTCCTCCAAGTGGTTCAGGTGCTTGAACGCGTTGTTGGGGACCTGGGTGATTTTATTTGCGTCCAGCTTCACAAAGACGGCGTCCTTGGGGATGTCCTTGGGGATTTCGGCCAGGTGCTTGGCGCTGCACAGCACGGCCATGGCCCCCGAGTGCCCGGTGCAGTGGCAGGGGTGGGGGCAGGAGGCACGGGCGGGAGGAAAGGGCAGGAGGAGGCAGAAGAAAAGCCACCTGAA